TTCTGTGTCTTTTATTCTCCACCATTTTGCTCCTTCAACCCTCTACTTCCTTCCAGCTCAGCTTTATGTCTTGGTAATAAAGAACCAGCCAAGTCGGACTCATACATGTGTGTGTTTTAGCCAAATCATCCCTCAATTATACGGTTATTCCAGGCAGTAGAATTAAACTCTCCCTCATCACTAAACCAAAGAATATAATCAAAGATTATGTTCATATTTGTCCACCTAAAATATGCCATAAATTATATGAATTGAAGCTTCTTTGGCTCAGCTAATATGAGGGAGGAAGAATATTCAAAATAACCTCAATGAAAATACCGGTCCTGTGTGTTTCTTCAGTTCATGGTGCACACATACCTGATACAGCCAAGACTTCTTACCAAAGAGCCTTATTTAAAGATAGAATAAGGTCCTTAGGGTGATCTTATTCTTACGTCTCCACACTCCACCATAGCACACCCAGGAGTTCATCATGATGAAAGGTTTCATCTCTCCTCTAAATCCATTGTACCTCTCCATGCTCCTTACGTTCATAGCACCCACTATCATAAAACCAGCTCATACAAACTATTCCAACTTTTCAGCTGAAAACTGAATAGATGGTTCTAAGAGTTTGATCAGATTCATGACCAACCTCTTGGTCAGCTGAGAGTACCAGTTCCAGTTAGGCCTATTGCCCTCTTCATTTGACCCATTTCTCTTGTCTTGTGACTATGTCTTTGCATCCAAAGATCCATTTTATAGGAGCTAATTGCATGCATTCAGGGTTCAGTAGCTCTTATAACTCAAGCCAACCCACATTTGCTGCAAAGACAAGTTAATAGACCCCAGAGTCACATGCCAAGTCTTCCTAAGGTGGCAAAAGGCAATCTGAGCTCTACACCGAATTGCAGGCTCTGAGTTTCTAGTATCCCCTAGCAGGTTTTACTGAGTGTTCACAGAAGAGTGGTTATGATTCAGACCTTCTGCTTGCTGCCCTCATTAAAGGAAGCCAAACTGATGGGCCAGTCCTAACTCAGGGATGGCAGGCACATTTCATTTTGTGGGCCAAGTCCAACCAATAGAGATACGACTTCAGGCTCTTTCAGTATGGTAGACCACGTGACTTGAAAGTCCTCTGCTAAAACATGTAGCAAATGTAAGATAAAATAGAGCAAACTTAAATGCATAGCAGAACTAGCAAAAAAGTTAGAATATTGCCAAGGGACAAAAACAAGAAAAGAGCTCAAAACCAAAACAGTAGGGACATGAGCCACTGCTGCAGCTGAGCTTCAGGCTGGGGTCTCAGTGCCCACCCCAGGAAAGAGATGTTCTTACGCCTTTGCCTGGAGACATCCATTCAAGTTAGTCTGCTTTGTTTGTTTCCCGATAGCCATGCCAACATATTTATTTTAAACTGCTCCATAATCCTCACAAGTAATTTCACTCATGCTTCTGTGGATACCAGTCTTCTTCATGAAGGGTGAGGGGCTTGGCATGTTTACATAGCGACTTAACCAGCTCAGCAGATTAAACTGATGCTCTCTGTTCCCTCTGTGCTTACTGACCTGGCACACTCACCACTCCAGCCATTTGAGATACTTGCTTAGCAAGAAAGGGTCATTTGTGTTTGTTCCCAAACCTCATAATGCCGGCTATATTTAGTTTTATAATTTCATACTTTATTTTATTTTTAATTTTTTTAAATTGATTTTTGGCTGCGTTCGGTCTTCATTGCTGCGTGCAGGCTTTCTCTAGTTGTGGCGAGCGGGGGCTACTCTTCGTTGCGGTGCGCGGGCTTCTCATCGTGGTGGCTTCTCTTGTTGTGGAGCACGGGCTCTAGGTGCACGGGCTTCAGTAGTTGTGGCACGTGGGCTCAGTAGTTGCGGGCTGTAGAGCGCAGGCTCAGTAGTTGTGGTGCATGGGCTTAGTCGCTCCGCGGCATGTGGGATCTTCCCAGACCAGGGATTGAACCCACGTCCCCTGCACTGGCAGGCGGATTCTTAACCACCGCACCGCCAGGGAAGTCCCAATAATTTCATACTTTAATATTAAGAAAAATAGATGAGTGTGAAGAGAAAGAGAACTGTTGATTCTTTGCAACCCGAGTTCTATGCTTTGGAAGGAATTTTAAAATGGTGCATCAATTAAGATGTGTGAGCTAAACAGCTATAAAAGATTGGGCTTGTAGGAAGATTTAAAGATCTGGAAGGGCCATCATCAGTTAGTTTGTGGAGAGACTAGAGAGTCTCAATCTGGTGAACTGCTTTGTTCCTTGTTAAAGTAGAGCAAGAGTTTAAAGACATTTAGACACTTGCAAAGCCATCTGAGTAAGAATCCCATAGGCACCCGCTTATGAGACACAGGTTCTCTACACAGCGCTCTTCACAGAGTCCCTGTGCTATTTCACCCCAGAGGCTCAGCTAAAGTGACTGTCTGTGATTGCAGAGAACATTAGTAACCAAAATAAAAGTATTACGACATAATAATGAAGCATACAGGCTTTGGGGCAAGGCAGACCTGGCTTGAATTTTAAGTCTGCAATTTGTTATGTGTCCTTAGGTAAGTCAGGAAGCTTCTCCAATCCTCAGTTTCCTCATCAGAAAATAGGGATGATAATAATACTACCTTGCTCCTGGAGTTTTTGTGATAATTAAATGATATAATGTTTGGGGAGCATGTGGCACTATGTCAGGTACAACACCAGTGCCCTATAAATAATAGCTGTTAAGATTCCATTGTTTAACTTTTCTAAAACTTTCACTTCTCACCTTGCTATCTTTCAGGACCTGTCTAGATGTCTTTTAGAATCCAACTCCATAATTCTTTATTAATTTGGCTGTGTTAGTGATGTCTGTATCCGTTTTCTAGGGTTTGCCATAACAAAATACCAAAGACTAAGTGGCTTAAACAACAGAAATTTGTTTTCCCACAGTTCTGGAGGCTGGAAGCCCAAGATCAAGGTGTCAGCTGGTTTGGTTTCTTCTGAGTTCTCTCTCCTTGGCTCACCTCCCTGCTGTGTCCTCACGTGATCATTTCTCTGTGTGCACGCATGCCTCTGGTTTGGATTGGATTAGGGCCCACCCTAATGGCCTCATTTGGACTTACCCATCACTTCAAAGGCCCTCATTCTGAGGCACTGGGGTTGGACTTCAATGTAAATTGGGGGCACGGGGCGGGGGGACACAATCCAACCATAACATTTACACGAGTAAATTATTTTCCACTTCATTTGAAAGTAACCACCTTCAAGAATCATGGCCTGAATAGAAAGTGTATGGTTCAGTGTCTCCTAGCCACTGAAATGCCATGACTTTGTAGGAGTCTCCATATATAGCGTATATAGCAAGTTCATTTATTGTGTGTAAAAAATATTTAAGAGGTCTGGTTTAAGGCTTTATAAATTGAGATATAATATTTCTAAAACATGATCTCTGATAATAGGCTGCACATATTTTTTAAAACACATTATTCTTGAAAAATACTTTTTTTTTGCAGTACGTGGGCCTCTCACTGCTGTGGCCTCTCCCGTTGTGGAGCACATGCTCCGGACGTGCAGGCTCAGCGGCCATGGCTCACAGGCCTAGCCGCTCCGCGGCATGTGGGATCTTCCCAGACCGGGGCACGAACCCATGTCCCCTGCAACGGCAGGCGGACTCTCAACCACTGTGCCACCAGGGAAGCCCAAAAAATACTTTTTTATGTCATTTGTTGAGCAAGGAGTTAGGGAACATTTACATGTGTACCATGGGTATATATAAAATCAAATAAGATATGTATTAACTGAGCACCTGTTCAGGTAAAGCACTAAGCCAAAGGTTAGGGGCAAACCTAGAACACTCCCTGCTCTCTACTTAAGAAAATGCCAGAAATGTCACCAAGTGAGTTCATTTAATTGTCAGTTAAATGCTCAGTACAGATAATGAGTCTTGTGTGTTCACAATTGCCTCTGAAGCCCAGAGTTAGGATTTTGAACTTGTGATGTTTAGCTACCATAATATTGGGAGAAGGGGGAGTGGTATAATCAGAAAAACAGACCCATAGGTAGCTCACTGCAGCATTCAGGACAAGTGGAAGGAGAGAGAACTGTGAGGAAGCACTGCGATAGCAGAGTGATATTAAGAAAGGGTGCTCTGTCAGAAAACAAACTTATGGTTACTAAAGGGGAAAGAGAGGGGAGGGGTAAATGAGGAGTATGAAATTAACAGATACAAACTACAATACATAAAATAGATAAGCAACAAGACCTACTGTGTAGCACAGGGAACTATATTCAATATCTTCTAATAACCTATAATGGAAAAGAATCTAAATATATGTGTATATATATACATATATATGTGTATATATAGTTGAATCACTTTGCTGTATACTTGAAACTAATACAATATTGTAAGTCAACTATATTTCAATTAAAAAAAGGAAGGGTGCTCTGAGAAGGATCTGACCAAGAATAATATCAAAGAATTCCACAGGGCTTCCCTGGTGACACAGTGATTGAGAGTCCGCCTGCTGATGCAGGGAACACGGGTTCGTGCCCCGGTCCGGGAAGATCCCACATGCCGCAGAGCGGCTGGTCCCGTGAGCTATGGCCGCTGAGCCTGCGCGTCCGGAGCCTGTGCTCCGCAACGGGAGAGGCCACAGCACTGAGAGGCCCGCGTACAGCAAAAAAAAAGAATTCTACATACCTCTGGTTTGAGCCTATGATAGCGATGTGTTCCAGCCTACCACAAAGTTAAGTAGAACTTTGAAGCCAGGGCCTGTATATGATGGTGGCAGTGTTGTTACAATGACTGAGAATAGGTTACCCAGGATTATCAAGTATGGGAGTCAGGCACCGCCAGATATTCATAAGAGATCTTACTGTAAGGGGAATGCAAGAAAAACCTTCATTTACCAAAGGTTACTTCTTCCCCACACAAAGAATATTTTGATTCCTGTTAAATAATGATCAAGACAAGTATGATTGAAATGTAACCAGAGAAAAACTCCTTGTTTAATATGTATCTTGCTTCTTTCAGGCCGCTTTTTCGTGGAAGTTCAGATGTCGATCAGCTAGGAAAAATCTTGGAGTAAGTATTAACTGTAATTTTACATCTGTGTCTGTAACATTAAAACATTACAGTGACCTTCCTCTGACGTTTATGTAATATGTTTATCTCTTGTCTTTCCCAAGCTGCTGCTGCTGCAGACAATGTTACTGTTTGTGTGGTGAGTGGGGACATGGTAGACGTCTGCTGTTTTGTGCAGAGCCCATCATGCCTTGTGGCCTGATTGCTCTGCTCTGGAAGCTTTTATGTTGCTCGTGTGGATCTTTTGACAGCTGCCCTTTCTCTGCTTGGCTGAGCTCCAGTTCTTTAAGTTCAGCTGTGTTGTCTGCTTGGGGTCATTTCAGATGCTTCCACTCAGAGGTGGGGCGCTCAATGACCAGGTAACCCATCCTTACCCACTGGGCTTCCTGTCCCCATTGAGTATCCTGTAGTCATCCAGGTTGGTTTTACATTGTTTTGTTTTGTCTTCCTGGACAAAGGACGGTATGCTACAAATCCATTTTTCTTTGGAACACTGAAAAAGGAGATAAGGATCCTAGGTTTCAATCCTACGCCTGTGGCTAAATAACTGCAGTCTTGAAAAAGTCATTTAAAACACTGGGTAGAAGACTTACACAGTGCCTGGTACATAGTAAATGCTTTTGAAAAAATGTTAGCTATTATTATAATTCATCATTAATTGTTTAACCTTTTTGTTCCTTAACTTCTTCGCCTGAGAAATGAAACTTTAAGGCTTTCTTGTGCTCGAATTCTTTGGTTCCAGTTGTCTGTGACATAGCTCCTTGATGATTTTCAGAGTTCCATTAGCGTACATGTTTGTGCATGTGAGAGTATGGACGCTTTCATGTGTCTAGAATGGGAAGAAGAGGCTTTTCTTCTCACAGAGCATGCAGTACAGCAACCTTTTGGGATCTGTGTTGTTGCCAAGCCCCATCAGGATTCGGGTGGAGTAGGAAGAAAGTGGGAGTTCTAGAACCAAAAATAGCCCTGATCATTGCTCTGTACCATTTTATAGGCATCCTAGTAATTTTTATGATATTTGCAGCCTGTAAAACTGATGAAAAGTCCCCCTAAAGAAAAGCATTATATTTTAACACTATTTTCTCATGTTTAACTGCTTGAAACAGTCGGAATAAACCCGGAACCTGAGTTTGTTCTTTCAGTGACTGGAAGCAGCTCCAATAGGCTTCTGTTAGTGCCAGAGTCACTGCTGAGTCAGAACCCAGTGGCTTTAAGGCCTGAAAAACATTTGCTAGTTTTATTGTCTGGGGGCTTCCTGGGTCCAGGGCAGCTGCCACGACGGCTGCTCCTGCCACTGCTACTGTCCGCTCTGTAAGATGGATGAACTCAGGACCAAACTTGCACATTACTCTCTGCTTCTGGGTGTCACGTTCTTTGATCATTCAGTGATGAACTCCCATCTGTTCTTCCCTATCCCTGTTGAATGTATTTTGTGTGCATGTGATTGTGAAGAGGGAACTGTGAAAGTCAGGCATACCAGTGACTCTCTTGTTAAAAGTAAGAACAGTCTTGACTGAAACCAGCTTGCCAGACACTGACGTCCTTCACCTGCTTTTCCTTACTGACTCCACCTGGGCGTTCTGTCTACCTCTAACACCGACGTCTTCAATCATGTTAACACTGCTGGTGCCCCTTAGTACGTGAAGCCAGTGGGACGGACCAGAAGGAACCTTTGACGAACATGTTTGACTTGCTTCCAAGGGAAAGCCATTTCCACTTTTGGCAAAGGCCTAAGATCCCAGGTTGCCAGCAGAAAAGAAGCCATAAAGTTTGATATGTTTTGTGCCTTTAGATTTTACTTCTTGGTTTCTGGCATTGTTTCATTGAAATTATATTGTTTCCTCTGAATGTATTCATTGCTTTGGCAGAGAGAAGAGGGACAATGCTGCACCCTAGTGTCACTTCTCAAGTACTTGAAAAATGATTTCTGTCTCAGCCACCACTGCCATTTATAGGTTTTGTGCTTTGTCAGTGTTTCCAGTACAAATGTCAACTTTTAAGGCTTATATTCGGCTTTGTCCAAATATTGAAATTTGATGCAAGCCCTTTTTAATGGACCTATCAGAATTTCACAACACTCATATATAGGCCATAAATGTTCACACTGGATATTAAACTGAATATTTTTTAAAAGAAAGCCATATTCACATTCTCTTAAGGGGAAAACTGTTCCTGTGTTTTGGAAGATTTATACTTTCAAAGAACAGTAAGTACTTTGAAAGTGAAACTGAATGCTTTTAGCCTGTGACATTTTAGAGCATTTTTAAGAGCAGAGTCATAGTTAAATGGAAACAAAATACTGGATTTGGAATACGTTTGCTCCAGGCTCTGGGCTGAACTATGTGTGAAGTTGGCAGTTCATTTTATTCCTCATCCTCAGTTTCCCCATCTATATAATGGAAATAATAATACCTGACCTACATGTCTCAGGAGGTGGCAGATTTAAGAACACTTTTATAAGTTATTTATATAAACAGGTATGTATATATGTATACATCACACATATACATACAGGGACACTGTTTTTCTGAGAGCTTTTGGCATTCAGCTGCCCACATTGCCAGATTTAGCTCAATATAAATATATTCAAAACTGCAAATAAAAAAGATTTTAAACTTGTACTAAGAGTTGTTATAATCGATTTCTAGGTGACTGGTGATAATATGCAAAAATATTGATATAAAAATGGCTAAAAGGCCAAAAATGACTGAAAGACAATTTTTTAAAGTTATTTAGTAAGCATTCTTCTGTTCTTCTCTGCCTGTCCCATTCTATCCAAACACACACATTTTTTAAAAAATAATAAATGGTAATGTTTTTGTTTTCCTCTTTTTATTCTTATTCTAGATCTTGCTATTAAACAAATTAGTATGTTGCTCAAGTTGTCCTTTCCATTCATCTGTTCTGTAAACATGCCCATGAGTCTGTTTTTATCTACCTCAATAACCTGGCTCTCCCCACATGTCTGACAGAGGTAGGATTACTATGTCTTTCCCCAGACACCCAGTGATAGGTGTCTGCTCTTCCCAGGTGAGGTCTGTTACCTGGGCTCTGTTGAGGTGAGGGAAGGGGGGGAACAAAGCCCTACAGAGATCTTGTGACATTTACCACCACGTGTTCCTGCACCCTGGAGGACTTGTTCAGGAGGACATCCCTGGGTCTTAGTCCCAGCGAGTGCAGGCCAAGAAGACGACAGTGCAGGCCAGCACCTTTTCTAACTGTAGTCAAAAGAGTTTGCTCAGTATTCGAATAGCCATATAGTCTGTCCACTAAACAGCCTGTGCTGTTTTTGTATCACTTGATGCTCTCTCTACCTTTCTGATCCCAGGATGGTTTTCAGGGGGAACATAAATGATACTGTTCTTATTAATTGTTTGCTCACTTTGTAATAGCATAAATTAGTTATATAAAATATGTAAATTAAATTATGTAAGTTAAATTTGATATTAAATTATAAAATGGTATTGCATAATATAGGACTACCATACCTTTTAGCCTCATTTTTTTGGTCTGGTTCTGATTTATGTAATTACTGTGTGAGGAATTATTCTTCAACCAAAAATGCAACCAAATTTATGTGTAAACAAATCATGTTAGATGAGTATCATAAAGGCATGTCAGTACAGGAGTGTTCGATCAGAGCACGAAAAGCACTCCTGGGCATAAAGGAAAATATGATATGCCCATGCAGGTGTCCTTTGAATATATAGGTCCTGCTCTGTCAGTATTTCAGGGCTTATTGGTAATACAGTAGTTTCCAGTTCTGCATGATCTCTTACATTTTGTGTCTTCCGCCAAAGTAATCTCTTATCTCTTCCCAGTGGTTTTTACAGTTCTCCTGTGAGATTACCCTATTGCAGCACCTGATCACCCTGTCATGATCACCGTATTGCGGTAGGACAGAGAGAAAAGGGAGTCCTGCCGGTCATACAAGTGATGAACTCCTGAGGCTCTGTGTCCCCCATGCCTGCCCCTTAGGCTTTACCTTCTTCTAGAATTGGTGGAAAAATCGCTTCAGCACAGCAGCTAATGCTTACATTCACCTGTGGTTCTTTTGTAGTGTAATTGGACTCCCAGGAGAAGAGGACTGGCCTAGAGATGTTGCCCTCCCCAGGCAGGCTTTTCACTCAAAATCTCCTCAACCAATTGAGAAGTTTGTAACAGATATTGATGAACAAGGCAAAGACCTACTTCTGGTAAGTTCACATGATGCAGAGTTGGTCTGCACTGTGCTCGTGAGAGACTTGCCCTGTCCACACTGGGCACTGGGCACAGTGTCAGTTCATCGTCATGTGCCACAACCACACGGGGCAGAGGCCACAGTCTCTCTGCAGCTTTCATTTCCAGCCCTATAGCAGCTAGTGGCTTTTGATTCTGCAGTGTCTTCAGGTCCTATAGAAAGAGAAAGAGGGACTTCCCTGGTGGTGCAGTGGTTAAGAATCCGCCTGCCAATGCAGGGGATATGGGTTTGAGCCCTGGTCCGGGAGGATCCCACAGGCCGCAGAGCAACGAAGCCTGTGCACCACAACTACTGAAGCCTGTGCTCTAGAGCTTGTGAGCCACAACTACTGAGCCCGTGTGTTGCAACTACTGATGCCCGCACTCCTAGAGCCCGTGCTCCACAAAAGAAGCCACTGCAATGAGAAGCCCGTGCACCGCAACAAAGAGTAGCCTGCACTCGCCACAACCAGAGAAAGCCCGCATGCAGCAACGAAGACCCAACGCGGCCAAAAAATAAATAAATAAATACTGTGTATCAATAAATGCAGCCAAAATTTGAAAAAAAAAAAAAAAATGAAAGAGTCTGATCCACACCCCTTCAGTCTGCCATCTTCGAATGTTCTTTTGAATGCAGCCTTAGAATCCTCTGGGTTCGTCTAAACACATGCTTCTTTAGAAGTAAATATTATGTTTCCTTGTTTACACTTTCATGCTACTTTAAGCAGCTTGTTTGGCATTTTAATGTGTCTTTTCTTAAACAGGCACATTTTTAGGAAGATGTTTTTCCAAAGGAACTGGATAGCAATACTCCTTTTAGTTATTGATTTATTTAATAAGTATTGAACGTGCCCTGACATATAAAATACCTCACTGAAAATAAAGACTTCTGTGCCCTGTTTGAGACTCAAACTCATAATACTTGGCTTTGTACATAATTCTTTGTATTTGGAGACCAAACAGTAGGTAGAAGAAAGTACCTATGGGGCTACTCTTGGTGTTTGGAACCCAATGAGTAGTAATGAGTATCCTTTACCAGCTGAATTAACAACCTTTGATATCTAGCCAAGAAAGTGCTCCTAGACTCAGAAGCTTACTCCCATTCTGAATTTTAGATATAGACCTAAGAGTCTATAGGTCCTAGTAGACATGTTATGTATGCTTCAGCTCTGTGTGGACACAGCCATCGATTGGCATGTTTGCAGAGCCAAGGATTTTCCCAGTGAAAGCCCTAACTCCATCTTCAGCTGATGGTGGCTCACTTTCTGATGCTTAGGCAAAAGTTCCCTCCACTGCCAAATTATAGACAAGGACAGCTCTATTCCTCCCCACTGTTGATTTGTAAGATACTCACTAGTGTGGCCTGGAAATGGAAAGCCATCCAGAGTGTAAATGCTCTGTCTCCGTCCTGTGCATCACATGCTCTTAGCAACTCTGCTTTTCTCTGCCCTTTTCTCCACCTCATTGCTCCTTTTCAGTCCTACTTTCTGCTCCCCTAACTTTAGCTGGTTCCTTGACTATCAGAACTTCAACTAATTCACAGATCCTTTCAGCTCTAATCCCACTGCTAGCATTTGCCCTGTCACTGTTTCCTGTATCAGATTCCTACAAGGAGGAACCTGGCTGCCATACCTCACCTTTTTTGCCAAACCGTGATAAGGGTTGCTACCTATGGCCAGGCTGCACTCCTGGCCCAATCGGGTATGCCAGGAGACAGTGAGGACCGCGTGTTATAAAATATAGCCACCATAGGATTTCCTTTTCAGCAGGAACTTTGAATGAAATGTTCCTCTTAGTAGAGGATTCTGGACAGAACGTGACAGTGATGAACAGCTTTGGTAGTGAAGTAGCCCAGTCCTTCGGCTAACAGAACATCCAAAGACAACCCAAAAGATCTCCTGGCTCCAACATTATTAGGAATCACCAAGAAGAACTTAAAATGTAAAGATAACAGACCATGCCATGTGTTCATTCAGGGTCCCCCACTAGAGATGGTGGCTTCCAAAGTCAGACCACACACTAGTGCTAATCTAAAGAAGTAGCAGGAGACAAAAAAGAAAAAGGAGCAAAGAAACCTACTAAAGAGAGAAGAAAGTAGGTAGACAAGGAATGGCAGCAGAGATTAGAAAAAGGAGAGGAATAAAAAGCAGAGCCAGTAACATCATGACCAGGTAAAACTTAAGCATGGAGCATAATATCCACAGGCATGCAGGGAAAGGACAGTCCAAGACCTTAAACCTCAGCAGTCTCTGAAAGCTCTCACTGTTTTATCCTAGAGGGACACAAGCTAGAACTCTAAAGCAGAGAAGGCAGGCCATTTGGTACAAGAGAGGCAGCTGAGATCCCAAAAGTAACTTTTGCCGCTATTGAAAATTTTTTACTAAAGGAAGAAAAATAAAGAGTATTTTAGAAAGTTGTTTTATTTAAGAAACAATTAACATTTAAAAGTTTAGCACTTTAAGAGTTATCCTTCATTTTTATCTGAAAAAACAGTTGACTTTATAGAATGCCTCAATCTTTCATGTATGGATGTATTATACATCAACATTTATAAATGCTCTTATGTAGATATATAAGTAGTGTGCAGTAACAAGACAATTCAGGGGAAGAATTATTTTTAGCAGGCAAAACCTACATATCTTTATAAGTTTTGTCCCCTTCATCATGATTAACTTGGGAGTCTGGGTACTTACTCCAAATATGATGCTCTTGCTGAAAAAAGTTTTGGAGTTCTTGCTATCAAACTGCTTTCAGAGCCTGAGGTACTTTTTTTTTTTTTTGGTCCTTGTATTAGTCTGTTTTCGATGCATAACAAATAAACAAAAAATCTCACTAGCATACAGCAATAAGCCTTTGTTTCTTGCTCATGTGTTTTCACATTGGCAGAGATGGCTCTTTGAGTCATCTAGAGCAACTCTGCTTCAGCCGGTGGGTCAAGTACTGGTCTTCTCCACGTGTCTCATTCTGGGGCCCAGGCCCTAGGGCCTTTGGCTCCCCGCGACATGTTTTCTCATCCTAGAAGGTAGGTGCTCCCAGAAGGGCAAGCAGAAACCTACGATGCCCCTGAAGGCCTAGGCTCGGAAGAGATAGGCTGCCATTTCTGTCCACATTCCATTGGCCAAAGGAAGTTACATGGCCAACTTTAACAGAAGAACGAATACTTCTCCCATGGAGAGGGGGAAGGAAAGAAAAGGAATATGTGTCAGAAAATGATCCAGTCCACTGTAGTAGTTAACTCTTGACTAGGTGGTAATTCAAAAGCTCATTTTTTAAGGCAGTTATTTGGCAAGCAAATTATATTTTTTTGCAGAAACAATATTATTATGCAAGATTTTAAAATTAGTTCTCAAAATAGCCAATTGTTCTACTGAGATAGAGCAATAATAGGATTCAGCCACCTTTTCTAACAATATTTCTATAGGACAAAATGTATTACAACCTCCAACTTGAGCTTCTCACACACACCCCACCTTAGGCTAAAGATTTCTCCTTTTCTCTACCCTCTTCCCAGACCTAAGCCATCCGTATAGTGTGGGAACAGGGCTTCCTCTCAGATAATCCTCTAGGGACATGTCTCTCTGTCTTGGACATATCTCCACAACTTCTTTTTTCTTTTTCCTATGTCCTGGGAATTAAACTGGCTGCTTCCTTTTCTAATGCCACTATGTAATTTTTTCCTTCTTGGACTCTGGGAAGAGAAAACTCAGGCTCAAGAATTTTGCCCCCGCTTTCCTGTCCTTTGGGAATTCAGCCCTTGTAAAGCTTTTCTCAAGATGTTTATTGCTATTAGAGACAGTAGAACCATTCTACGAACAATCTCCTTCCTCTGCTTGTCGTTTGGGTCTTTGATTTTCAGAAGACACTATGCGCAGGTTGGCGTCCACGGACTGGTAGGGAGCTCAGGATAAATAAGATTTCAGGGGACCCAACAGTTCACCTGAAGTTAAATGTAGAATTTTCTGTTTGTATGTGTTTTTCTAGCTCAGTTGCATTCAGCAGAGTTTTAGAGGAGCCCCTAATCCACTCAGGACCTAAGACTGTGAGATACTTAAGCGCAGAAACCCAGATTAAATGGAAGAGGTCTACGTAAGCATGGTAACGTTAAGTCTAGATTACATAGAGGACTGAAATCAAGAGAAATTTCAGATCCCCAGCCCACTTCAGTAGACACTGCATCACAAGGATGGAGAAGCTGGTATAGCTTCTCTGCTACATGTGAGCTCCTGGGGCAGAGGGTGGGGGGAGACATTACTCATCATTAGTGCTTGCCACCTGCTAGGCATGCTGGAGGAGTTGGTGGAAGGAGAGGAGGAGGACTTTTTTTTTTAAAGAAGATGTTGGGGGTAGGAGTTTATTTATTTATTTTTGCTGTGTTGCGTCTTCGTTTCTGTGCGAGGGCTTTCTCTAGTTGTGGCAAGCGGGGGCCACTCTTCATCGCGGTGCACGGGCCTCTCACTGTCGCGGCCTCTCTTGCTGCGGAGCACAGGCTCCAGACGCGCAGGCTCAGTAGTTGTGGCTCACGGGCCTAGTTGCTCCGCGGCATGTGGGATCCTCCCAGACCAGGGCTCGAACCCGTGTCCCCTGCATTGGCAGGCAGATTCTCAACCACTGCGCCACCAGGGAAGCCCCGAGGAGGAGGATTTGAAGAGCGAGATTACCTGGGGTTGGAGTGGAAATGGCACTGAATTAGGGAAACGTTGTGACTGATTATGTATCAACAGCTTGGGAATGCAGATTGCTGCTCCAGAGTTCACCTTTCCCTCCTTTCACCTTCTACGTGCACTTGAGTCAACGCCTGGAATAGAGTTTAGTGACTTGACTTGAATCTGATGGTCCCCTTGTAGGGCTGCTGCTAGCCCATATGGCACCTTGACTTGAATTAGAAGGAAGGCATCTCTTTCTCTGGGTGGCGCAGCCCTGGGGCAGTGGATCAGGATAATTAGGGTCTAGGCTTTAGCCCTTACTTGTTGCCTCCTCCACTGGCCCTGGGTTCAGTAATTATCCTTTACACCTGAACAAGGCAACCCCCTTCCATTCCCTGCTCATTGATAAAATCAGGGTAAAAAATTAGGGTGAAGATTCCGACTATAGCACTAAGTTTGCTAGCATCAGAAAAATCACTACCCTAAATAAAGTTATATGCATGCTGTAATAATAATATGATAGGGTTGGAGAGAAATCCTCGGTGGGTAACAGTCCACAGGCAACCCAGAAGGTGTTGCCTTTTCCTGAGCAGACATATATGAGTACTGTCTACATTGTATTTAGTGTCCCTTGAAGTAGATATTCATTCTCATTATAGACACATGTAATACGGGGCAGTGAGTAGATACATAATTATGTGTGGCAGTGAATAGACGCATAACTATGTAAGCACATTATTTAAATGGATATGTTTTATGTCAATCTGTTATTTTTTCTCTATCACAGAAGTGCTTGACATTTAATCCAGCCAAAAGAATATCGGCCTACAGTGCCCTGTCTCACCCATACTTCCACGACCTGGAGAGGTGCAAGGAAAACCTGGATGCCCACCTGCCGCCCAGCCAGAACAGCTCAGAAATGAATACAGCCTGAGCTGCCTTGAGCTGATCATCCGGAGAACCTCCTTGGTAGCTGATGGGTCTCCTGAGTAAGCCCTGCAGAGCTGCTGAGGATCACTGGCTGGAGACCTTCTAGCTGCCGTCTTCTGGATGGGCTCTGCTTCTCTGAGGAAACAGCCTCGTTTACTGTTTTGAAATCAATGCAAGAGTGATTGCAGCTTTATGTTCATTCGTTTGTTTGTTTGTCTGTTTGTTTTAAGAACCTGGAAAAATTCCAGAAGAGAAGCTGCTGACCAATTGTGCTGCCATTTCATTTTTCTGATCTTGAATGCTGCCAGTGTGAAGTGAGCAATCCAGACACAGCTGAGTTATGATGTAATCTCTCTGCAGGTGCTGGAGCCTGATTTGGTACTTTTGAGTGAGTGTGTGTGCGTGTGCATGTGTGTGTGTGTGTGTGATTCTTGATCTCTTAAAAAGTGTTACTTTCTGTAAACAACAAGAATAATTGAATTTTAAAGGCTCAAAGTGACCGCTAAATAACAGGTGTCTGTTGACTAAAGGTGATTCATCAAAATGGGCTTCTCAGATTTAAAGTTGAGCCTATGTCCTTAGCATTTCTTTTCTGGCCCAAAGCAGTAAATTTGCTAATAGTAAAAGGTTCACTATCTAGGTGAAGTTTTATACACACAGCAAAAAGAAAAAAAAAAAATTCCACTATCTTTTAAGAAACCTGTTTTTTGAAGCACAAATTCTATTTACTTTTCAAAAAGCTCATTTACTCCTTGTAATTTTAACCTGTATAATGTGCTTTATTGTTTCTTTTGAAAAATACCTATAAGCTTTTTCTTAACTTGCTATAGATTTAGGGAGTGTACCTCAACTAGGTAAAATCGTCAAAAAATAATAGAGAAAACCTTTATTTCCTGGTTTGGAATTTATTTTCTTTGTGGTTTTTGTTGTTATTTTGTTTTGGTTTTGATTTTAGGAATTTGTCAGAAACTGTTTCCTGTTTGGGTTTGGAGGATAGTTCTCTCTGACTAGAGACAGAAATGGCATTTAAGTTTTCCCCCACCTATTACACTGTACTTTTTCTACCGTGCACTGCCTCATTTGCAAAGTATCCATCTTATCTATCCCCCAGCGCATCTAGTATGTATTACTACCCTTACATAATTAATAACAGATTGCTTAAGCTGTTCTCATGCATCTCCTACTTTCTTTCTTTCAATGAACCTTTCATAAATAGTTTGATTCAGATTTATGGCTTATGGCTCCAATTCCACAATCCTAACAGAGTCCCATATGTTCTCCCTCTACTGCAATCTTCCTGCCTGGCATTTGGCATTCACGGTTGTTACCTAGGCAATGAGTAGAAGACTGGTTCTTCTCAATCACCAGCAAGTAGACTGCTTTAAAGTGTAACTTAGTGTTTTACAGCTTTATAGAATATATTGTCAGTGTAGTATCTGAGGGAATGTCCTTAACTATTTTTTAGAAATATATATTTACTCTATAAAATTACCTATTCTCCGTCGCCAGGCTGTGCTTGTTTCTAGTGCCTTATGCACATGCCCGCTCTCTGCAGAGCCAGCCTGACCTGGGCATTGTGAACAGCTTTACTTTTCCTCTTGCCATTTTCTCTACAGTACTTTATATTCCATACCATCTCTGCCTTCTGTGTGGTTAGTGCTCAGTCGGCTCTAGTAACCAGAAGACACAGAGATGAAGTATCTTTTGGTAAGTTTAGCTAATTTCTCTTCCTGATTCATGTTTTACGAGCATGCAACAGTTAGACTGTGTTTAGAGTTAGGGTTTTCAAAGAATGGACATTGCTTCCCTCAGAAGAAAATGTGCCAGATGATGTTTATGCATAATCAGGCCTTTCTGAGTTCTCCACAGCTTAATATTGTATACAACTATCTTTATATATATATATATAGTTTAACATTGTTCTAATTCAGTAACTTCAAGAGCAGGAAAATTTTTCTAAAGCAAGATATGATGAGAAGATGGGCCATAAGAATGTTTTATACTTTCTTCCTTGTGACAACATCGATTATGTTTTGTCATCTCTGTAAATGCTTGAGATATAATGGATCCAGAGCATTCAGGTCAAGCATACTTGCAGTCCCCCTGGATAAATGAGTTCTGCCTTTCCTTCGATCGGGGGTCAAAACACAAAGACCAGGGGCCTAGAAATTGAATTTTAAAACTCACTGAACTAATCCATCATGAGCTTTTCAGTTAGTATCCATGGTTAGAGTGAACATAACTTGGGTTTTTGCTTTTGCAAAAGTTTTTCATAAGTTCACTCAAGAAAAATGCAGCTGTTCTAAACTGGAATTTTTCAGCATTCTTCAGCATTTTAAACATGTAGAGAGTTCAACTTTTATTTCTAACATATGCTCCTGATTCATTTCTTGGTAGTGTTTATAAAGAAAACTTAAAGCACAAACATTTTGACATTAGATACTTGCCAGATTCCCCTCTGAGAGGCAGAAGGAGAGGGCTTTTCAGCCTCTCTGAACTTGTTAAAGAGTCTGTCCCCAGCTCTTCCATCCGGGTGGTTGTTGCACTTGAGTGATTACTCTCATTTTATGTCTTTTACATCCGCCTCACCACTTCTGAAATCCAGATCCCACACAAGCACCCTTTGCCATTAGGGCACTTTGAAGCACAGAGCAGAATACAAGCTTACTGAATACAGCTTACTCTTCTGCTACATACGGTTTCAAACATGTTTGCTAAAAGCTAGGCAGTGGTTAGCTGAAAAGGTCATATTGCCCCAGGGCTATACTGAAGCAGCTTATAGCAAGTAAGAAACAGGATGACAGACTTGAACTCACATTTGAATTTCTTACTAGGACTGGGGCAAGAATATGCCTGATAGTTTCTATATGATATTTAGTTCTAGTGGCCCAAGCTCTGGGAACTGCTGTGCTGGGGTGGAGTTGTAACAACCTGCATTTAAAGAGTCCATTTAGGCATCATAAGCTATCACGTGGCAAAGCTAGTAAGGCCCTAACCTTATAACCTTAAAAACACAATCCCTGAGAGCTTGTCAGAACCCAGTGTGTTGGAGCCTCCCACTTTGTCTCTCCTTTGAAGTAGATGGGAACTCAAGGAGCAAAGAACCTGTTTCCGAAGAAAGCTCCAGGCCATTTCTGCCCTCTGTGTTCTCATGATTTTCTCTCAGGAAACACACTTTGAATGGCAGAATTTTCATTTTGCCCCAGGTGACATACTAAAAATAGTTCAAAATATTCACCTAAGACCAGAATCTCAGCCTTTTAGTTTTAGGTGAAAATGAAAATTTTGTAATGCACAGGATGTTAATAGCTTAAATAAAACATGTACCTTTTTTTTTGTTTGTTTTTTGTTTCGGTACGCGGGCCTCTCACTGTTGTGGCCTCTCCCGTTGCGGAGCACAGGCTCCGGACGCGCATGCTCAGCGGCCATGGCTGACGGGCCCAGCCGCTCTGCGGCATGTGGGATCTTCCCGGACCGGGGCACGAACCCGTATCTCTTGCATCGGCAGGCGGACTCTCAACCACTGCGCCACCAGGGAAGCCCAAACATGTACATTTTAATAGAGAAACTTATGGTCTGACTCCAGAATGTGATACTCTCCATCCTGATGGAAAAAACTTAAATATTACCAAACTTTTGAATCTTAAATTATGTATTTAAATTACGTTTTTAACTAACTATAGCTGCTTCTCTTAAAAGTGGTACCTATAAAAGTCAGTAATGGTAATTCTCATTCCTTAATGGAAATTAAATCATGTAAGCTTCCTAATATCATAAACATATTAAAATTCTTCTCTCTAAAGAATTACTTCTTTTTTTAAGTGACAACTTTACTGTAATTTTTATGATAAGCACATGAGAGTGTCTCACATTTTCCAAAAACAGGCCTGTGTTGCATAGGTGGGTCTAGGAAAGAATAATGCTGAAAGTTAGTAAGCCACTGTAATTACTTAATTGTGTTAGTACAGTTTCTTGGAAAGAAAATATTGAAATATGATAAATTCCTAGATATTGATAGAATTCAAAAGAATGCATAAAGACAAAATGATGTCTTTATAAAAAATAAAGATGTGATTTCTAAATCTTTAAAAACCATGAGACACTAGGCAATGGATAGAGGAAATTCTGGAGAAAATGAAAGTATTCAAAGAAGGATAGTTTCAAAGTTATGTATATTTTGAAGGGTATATATTTTATTAACATGTATTGCAAGAATTTATATTCAAGTCACCTGGCAACTATGAACTTGATATGGGCAAAAACAAATTTTATGGAAAAGTCACTCCAAACAGTTACCATTTCAAAGGTTGAGCTAATCTTACTAAACCATCCCTATTCCTTCCTCATTTCATGGAAGGAAGCAGCCATGTGAAGCTACACTTGTTATGCAAGCCTAAAAATGTTTGTTGTAAAAAAATAAATAAATTTTTTAAAGGTGTGTTTCCTATGTCACCAGGATTTTTGAAAACTTGTGAAACCCAAACCATTTATCATGTGCATTCAGTACATTCAGATGTATGATTAGGAAGATAATTACATGTTCCTTCCCCACAGTGGAAAAACTTCTCAAGGCTACCAAAAACCTGTCAAGCAGTGTAAGTCCTCAGATAATTAGTAGTGGTGTTTTCCTCAAAAGCATAAGAAAATAGCATTTTCATTTTTTATCAATGCAATTTTCAACCTGGTTTTGTTACATACCTATATCTCAAGCATTTCTAACTTGTACTTTTTCAGAAAATAAACCAAAAATATTCCTTTGGCCTTTTCCATCTTCTGACCTTTGTTAACAACAAAAAATGGAGAAAGAGGAGGGGTCTGATTTTTACATGTTTTTCGCGATTAGTTGTATGTTTTTTTTAATGAAGTGCAAACCAGCTTTTCAAAATGTTTTCTATTTCTTAGCATTCCCAGGGAGTTAATTTAGATAAATGAATGGACTTCCATCAACATATTTATGTTTCCTTGATACTGGTGCTCTGGCCTTGAAGAAGAAAACAAGACTCTCCTGAAAATAAATACAGGTTTTTTCCAAGCATCTGTTTAAATACTACTACAGCAATTTGAACTTAATATGGTAGGAAAGGGAGGCGGTTTTTCTTTGAAATGTCTGTTTTAAAATTCACACTGTCCTAAGGGATGAACTTTCTTGTTTTATTCTAGTATATTCCACAAGGTGGCACTTTGAAGCGGGGTGTGGAATCTGAGCAAGGCTTCTACCTTTATTTTTCTGCACACATTTAACTCTTGCCTAGCGCTTGTTTTTCAGGATGATTAATAATCTTCACAGTGTTCTGTAACTCAGATATTTTAGTTGTTAGCTAAGTTCTGAACAATTGTCTGCAAGTAAATTGTTCTTGAGGATGAATAATACACCTATTTTGATTATTTTAGTGTATAAAGAGAGCCTAGTCATTCATTTGGTCATGAAACATTTTTTGAGGTAACTAATTACCTCACTTTTCTAGGTGCAAAGTTACAAAGATGGACATGCTTATTACTCAAAAGGCAACACTCATCTGTGAAGAGGATAGTTTTGTTAGGAGTGTAAAACTCCTACAGAGGTCCTAGGCAAAATGCCCATATCCCCTGTCACCTGCTTTCACATTCCCTACCATGGTGGCTGTTAGACGATTAAATTTAAAAATACTAATTTAAAAAATCAGATGCAGAAACTAAGTAACGTATCAGTTACTATATAGACAAAACTATTTTTTCAAAGAATTGCTATGCTGAAACAGAGCCCTAAAATACTAAAAGACCTGGTAATTTTTACACTTGTATAGTCACAAGTGTAAATTCACAAGAAATTGTAATTTTTTAAAATTTTCAGTAAGCATATGAGCTAATAACTTAGTATATCTACATAAGTGTTTGATTTCTCCACTTGTGAAGTTCTTTGGCAACTTTATTATAAATATATATGTACATACACTTTTTTCATACACTTTTGTTTTAATTCACAGATCCGCTCAGAGACCCATTATCTGCCACATGATTTTAGTTAATTTTAGAAGTCATTTTCTTTAACAGTGTCACTGAAATTTAGGAGGAAGGAAATTATATTATTTTTTCAGAATTTCCTTAGCACAACCCAACGGAAGGCAGTTTATTCCTTCTGAGTGGCAGAAACTCCTTAGTGCCTGCTTCACTTTCCTCCGGAGTAGCCAGCGGGCAAGTCTCAGTAATTCATACTGAATCAAAATACCGCACACACTAGGGGCTGTCAAATCTTCGGCCTCATCCCTCTGCTTAAAATCCCACTGAAGTATTTAGATTCCAGTTTAAGCCCCTAAGTGGAAGGCCGAATTCAAACCTCGAGTTTGTTATCAGTTGGGCCAGTCTGAACTCTTATCTGCGCGCGTTCAAAATTTCCCTCCCACCGAAAGCCTTCCGGGTGCGTTGCGCCGTCGCCCCGCCCCTTTGGCAGTAGAGTGGCAGTGGGCGGAGCTGGCTGGGACCCGCCCGCCGCTCACCTGTTAGTGCCTGAAATGATGTACAGACCCGGCGGGATACTGTCCGAGGTCCATGTGCCCTGCTGCTGTCTCAGAGGCATCTGTTCTGCAATCTTAGGAAGTAAAATATCCCTAGAAGCAAACAGGTGTCATCTGTGCGTAAATAAGTACAACACAATTCTCCGAGAGTTCGGGTATAAAGAGATGCTGCTCTGTATGAAGCTATCTACCAGGCATCTCTCAAGCTCTAAGCTCAGATTTTTTTTTTTTTAAGAGAAGATGTATAATTACAGGAAAGATTTTTTATTTTTTTATTTTCTATCATTCTACATATATGATGGCAAAAGATATGCCTGGAAAAGTTTTGTTTGGAAAATTTGTTTATTTTCTGCTTCATCCTCAGTTGGCAAAAGCTCCTAACTCTTTACTTTCTAATTTCTTATTCTTTTTTTCTTCGTCAAGTAGTTAAAGGTATGTGAGCAAATTATCTCATGTGGGAGGGAGACTTTCCTGTTTAGAGGAACCTTTTGTGTGAATTGTTTTGTCAAACAAATAACCCCTTCTCTATTTAAGGAGTTTGGACTGTCAAATGTAGGTTTTCTTAAAGGGGACACATAACTGTACATAACGCTATAAAGAATTATGACTATAGCACTAATCAGCAAGCATAAAGCCACAAGTTATATCATTTCTAACTCCCTGTGGTTTCTAGCCAAATCCGTTGAAGTGCTTAGGTTACAGTCCTGAAGAGACCTTTCATACCCTTACTTGAAAGTTTCTAATCTTAAGTTTTATGAAATGCAATAATATGTATTAGCTAGCAATATTTCTGTGATCACCAGCAACTCCAAATTTGACCTTGAAGTCTCTGGATAATGAAAATAGATCCCAGCAGTAATACACTTCTTGAACACCCCCCCCACCAAGTGTATTATGTATCTTTCTTATTTTGATACTGTGTTTGCAACAAATGTATACGGGAATATTTTAGTTCCTTACTTTGTATTCATTTATTTTCCTATGACCAGTAATAAATATACTAGTTAGTACATGGAATCAGTAGCATCAGCTACTCCTAGGATCAGCACTTAACAAGGTGGGAAATTTCTATTTCAAGTTGTTCTGCATTTGCATAAATTATTTCTATTATTCATGTATATTATTTATTTCTCAATCACACTAGTCCTGTGAAAGTGCAACAGAAGGCAGACCACATTAGGATTTGCATTAAATGCTCATTATCATGGTCTTGATGGAACTAAGAAAATTAAAATTAGACTAAGCCCCCAAATAGCTGCATGCATTTTAATATGATTAGAATTTAAGTCTAGAGAGATAGTATTTTTATGTCTAGCTGTTTTATCATTATGTAAAGGAATTAAAGCAAAGGACTTTGTAGTTGTTCTTTTGTCAAGTATGCATATACTATAGTGTGAAATACAGCAAAACTTAAAACTGCAGGTAAAAAGCATCAAATACTGCCTTAATTTAGGAACTCTGCCAGGTGGCCCTCAGAATAGATGCCAGGCAGAGACAGGTGCCTGGGTGGCGCCTCCTCTTATCTGGCCTGGAAAAGAAGCTTCCCCCACACCATCTAGTACCCTTGTAGGTGGTGTGTCCTGTAGTGGGAACAGGTAGCACTGTTGAAAGGAGAGCAGTGTGAGAGGTTTCTGTAGAAGCAGACCTGTCAGCGTGTGCCTTGAGGCTTCCAGAACATGCCAGGTGGAGAAGTCCAAGTCTCCATGCTTCGAGCAACTTGGTTTTGTAGAGAAGCAATCCAGTCTGGTAAGTAAAACAAGGATTGCGTATACAGTAGTCAACAGTGGGGTTTTAACAACAATCCCCAACACCTCAAAAGCTTGTTGCATTTCTGGTATTTTAAGTTTTGATCTGAAGGTTAAATGGCAAGTGTGTTGTAGAGAAGAGCAGTATGTAGCAAGAAAAGCACAATGTCGGTTCCCGTAGAGTGCAGATTAGAACTAGAGGGTTTTATAGGCTTATCATTTCTGAGATGTGTAAAAGCACGTTTTCACTGTAAAATGTATTAATGTTTCTGCATTCTTATAGGGCCTAGTTAAAACTTTATTCTAGATTTCAGCAAGGGTGTCACAGCCAGTGAGCTATATTTTTGCTTTTTTTTTTTTACTTATTTTTATAGTAGAAGATATTTTAAAAGTAGAAGAAAATCTTAATTTGGACATTCGACTTGTTGGTTTCTGTGTTTGAAATCACGGTTCTGGAGATGTAGAGATTGTGCATGTGCATGTCAGATACTAATCTAGGCTGTGTGAACCAGCCCAGGATAACTGATACTCTGCCAGCCTCTGCATCCTTTCCTCCCTTCCTCTGAAGTGCTCCCTGCCCCCTTCCTGGACTGTCCACGTGCTGCTCTCCATCCTCCTCTGCTGTACTTTGGGGTCAGGGACATGATGAGAGATGCTTTAGGCATCCCAGGTATGCCTGTCCAGGCTTGGCCACCACCCCTACTTGACCTCTGGCTGGCCACAGTCATGAAGAGAAGGTTCCTGGTGCTGAGCACAGTGCATGGTCAAGACACCAATCACAAATGCCCTCTAGCATCTTCGTATATGTCTTGATTTTTAAACCAAGTCGTGCTACAGAGCATTCTGTTTTGGCTGTGGTGCAAAGAAAAACCAAGAATATAAACCACATTCCAGGCTGCTGTTTTCTATCCATCTACAGGCTATACTTTTACTGTATTTCTTCATACTTGAAATTCATTCTGCTATTTTAATATCAGGGTACAGACTTATAAGGGTGCATGTTCCTTAAAGGTGCAAAATTACTCTCATTCCGTTTGCTTATATTGCTACAGAATGCTCTGTTTTGGTGCTTTGGGTTCAGCAGGTCAAAGAAGCAGTGTGGAAATTGACTGCCTGGAACACAGTCTTACAAGAATGCTGGCAGATGGCTTGGTGTTAGATATTGCTTCTGCTTTTTTCTCTGTACACAAGATTGAGAGTTACCACACTGGTCTGTCAGGTTCACCTGGGTATCCTTCCTCACAGGGTCCATAAACCCTGTGCTCTCCCCAAGTGTGGGTGTGATGCCGCTCTCTGAAAGCAGGGATCTTCCTACATATCCGGATCTTTTACCCCTCAAAGAAAAATGACCTCGTGTGCAGACAGGAGGAAAATGGGAAGAGCCGTCTCACTCTAGCGACCATCCATGTAGAAAGCCCTCCTGAGGCCAAAAAAAAAAAGAAAGAAAAGGAAAAAAAAGAAAGCTGACCTGTAAAGTTATCCTCCTCCTAGGGTCCTGAGCTGAGTGATCTTGCTTCCTTACTTACAGGTAGATGAAAATATAGGTCAGTTTACCTAGGCTCTTCCCACCTGAAGAGAAAAATAGAAAAGTAGGTATTTGTGTCACGTGAAATATGTAATCCAAGGACCATCAAAACTTACATTAAATACCCCATTGCTAGCAATCAGTTTTACGAATTAGCTCAAGTAAGTGATGCTTGATGACCTGGGGTTTCTGAGGGCAGAGGTAGCTCTTCTAGCATGCACCTTACTCTTAAGACTTGTTTGGAGAGGGAGAACTACCAGTGGTGACTGTGACAATGGAAAAGGTAACATGTCAGAAAATTCAGAGGGTTATAGGTCAAGAATCCTTTGGAAACTGGATGTCTTACTGGGTGCTAGGATGCAAATTTAGGTGTTTATTGTCAGATAATGGAATTCATTGTTTTTTAAGAATTGGTGTTGAAATGTCATTGTCCAGTTCATTGTTTTCACTTATGCACAAGCTAAATTGAAGCAAAAAGAGAAAATGGTTTGTGTATTTGTCATACCTTTTGTACTTCTTACAATAAAACTGTTGGTAGCAAATAAAAATAATAAAAACAGCAATTTTAACCTGCTTTCTTGGAGATGAATTACTATTCTAGCTATTTTTCTTTTTACTTTAATGTAAAATAAATGTAATTGCAGTGAGTAAAGTAACGTCTAATTCAATAGCAAGTTTTAGCAGAATATGTTTCAAATTCTTGTTTTAAGAGACTCCTTTTCAGGCTTCAGATGTTTAAAAAAAGTAGCAGCTCATTGAACTTAAAAGTTCCATAATAAGTACTTAGTAAGCTCTTAATAGTTGACTGTAGTAAACACTGAAGACCCAAAACATGAATAAGGCACAGGCAGTCCTTTCTGAAGCTTACAGACTGAGACTGTGAAAAAGGTTTGTGTAACCAATTGCCGATAACCTGGGAAGGAAAAGAGATTTCACATTGGAAATGATGCTTGAATGGATTCAAAAACAAACGTTAACGCTGGCCAGTCACAGAAGGAGAAATACTTTGTGTGTGCAATGGTCTGCAATTATGAAATAGCAGACAGGAAAGGGCAGGAAGATTGGTGAGGCCACACCTGGGGCAGTGGTTTCCAACATTTGGATCATAACCTACAGAGAGAAATATAATCCAACAGCGTGGCTGGTGCACACAGATACACATGGAGACATATATCAGAAACTTATATTCCACAAAATGATGCTGTGCGCCCCACACGTTTTCTTTTTTTACTTTATTATCCTCCACACTTTGAAAATACTGGTGGCAAGCCACGAAATTCATTTCACAACCCCACCAACAGGCCATGACTTAATGTTTTAAAACAATTAGTAAGGGGCAGAGGGGTGGTGAAGGAGGAGGAGAGGTCCAGAAGTGCTTAATATACCATATAAAGGAGTCGGGAGCCACTGAAGGATTTGGAAGAGAGAGATCATTTCTGTTAATGTGTGCCTATTTTTGTTCGACTTATATACTAGACGAGAGTGATAGACGAAGCAGCTCCTGAGGTGCTACAGGCAAACCAAAAGTGGGACTGTAGTTGCTGTCTGATATTTATATTCCCATCTTTGTGTACAGTATCAGGTATTTTAACATTAGTCCTCCAGAATTCCTTGGGAGCTCTCATTAGGACTTGCCTTAATTTTTTTTAACAGGCCCCAAATTGCATCTAAATTTGTAAAATCTACACAGAATATTCAGAAGGGATGATATAGAGAGTCAGGAATTTGATCTTTATTAAGTAAGTGAAAGTTTGTAGTTTATTAAGAGGTCAGTCATAACTACCTGTTTCTACAAACCACAAGTATTTACAGCCAGGTTTGGCAGGACCATTTTTTTCAAAGTGGTTTATCAAAGACCTTAAGCTAGTTAGTTATCTCTAGTTATCTCTGCTATACTCACTTAGAACCTCAGTCCATTGAAAGCCCAGTAGGCCTTTGCCACTGATTTTGCCCTCTGGAGTGTGAGCCCAGTTTGCACCCCCCTGTTCTCTAGCAAAGAACTCCTCGTGGATGGTGATGGTCATATTTGTTCCGCATATGCCATTTTTCTGGACATAGCAGATGAAACAAGCAGAGCATCCCATGGGATGTGGAGCCAAGCAAATGACTGTGTGTTGCTCTCGTACACGTCTGGAGCTGCTACTGCCTGTACATTCTGAGTTGCGCGTGGCCACGTTTCTAGATTCCAGAGATACAGCAGTGAACAAGATAAATAAGGTGCTTGATCTCATGGAGCTAACATTTTAGTGGGGGAGACAGAAAATAAATAAAAAAGTGTATAAGTACATTATGCTTAATGCTATAAAGGGAATACACAGGTCTTAAAACAGAAAGTACTTGGAAAATGGTGGTCAGGAAAGGCTCCATGAAAGCTTTGAGTTGAGGCATAAATTAGCATGAGACGGAGGAAGCCAGGCGATGTGCTGAGGGTAGAAGAACTGAAAGCCTCACTAGAGTGGATTCAATAAAGAATTGGTAAGTGAATATGGGAAATGCCCAACATGAAGTGAGAGGTACGAAGTGTAAAGTAAAAGGTGTGAGGGGTAAAGTGTGACCGGGTACTGGATTGAGCCCAAATAGACTTTGATAAGTTCAACATACTTTCTTCCCAAGATCAAGAACAAGGCAAAGACGTCAGCTTTCACCACTTCTGTTCAACATTGTGCTAGGGTAATAGGCAAGAAAACAAAAGGCATAGAGATTGAAAAGAAAGCAAAGCTGTCCTTATTCACAGACAACACGAGAGTCTCTGTAGAAACTCCTGAAGAATACCCAAAAAAGCTACAAGAACAAATACATTTTGCAAGGCCAGAGGATACAAGGGCAATATATTTTTTTAAATGTATTTCTATATACTTTAAAATTGCAAACCCACATTTAAAAACCAATTACGGTAGCAGTAAAAAATGAAGTCATCCTGGATTCAGGTGGGCCCTAAATCCAATGACTGTTAAGAGGAGAGGGCACATGGAGATGCACACAGAGAAGACAGATACGTAAAGATAGAGGCAGTGATTGGAATTATGCTGCCACAAGTCAAGTAATGCCTGGAGTCATCAGACGCTAAAAGAAGCAAGGAGGGGACTTCCCTGGCGGTCTAGTGGTTAAGACTTCGCCTTCCCATGCAGGAGCTGTGGGTTCCATCCTGGTTGGGGAGCTAAGATCCCACATGACTCACAGCCAAAAAACAAAAACAGAAAACAGAAGCCATATTGTAACAAATCCAATAAAGACTTTAAAAAAAAAAAAATCCACATTTCCTCCCCCCCCCTAAAAAAATCTTAAAGTAAGGAGGAATTCTTCCCTAGAGCCTTCACAGGGATCATGGCCCTACTGACACCTTGATTTCATACTTCTTGCCTCCAGAGCTGCAAAAAAATAAACTCCTCTTCTTAAGCCACCCAGTCTCTGGTACTTTGTTGTGGCAGCCCTAGCAAACTAATACAGTAATTCAATGTGGAAAGGACAATCTTTTCAACAAATGGCTCTGGAAAAATTGGATATCCATATAGGTAAAAAAATGAACGATGACCCTTACTTCACACCATGAAAAAAATTCAAAATGGGTCATGGACCTAAACATAAGAGCTAAAAGTACAAAACTTGCTGAAGAAAAATAAGAAAAAGATCTTCGTGACTTTGGGTTAATATCTGTAAAGTTCATGGAATATTAAAAGCACTATCAATAAGCCATGAAAACAAACTTCCTCTTGTGCATACAGAAAAGCCTGTCTGGTCAGAGAATCCCCAGCTTAAGTCAGGGGTGATGGAGGAGGAGGGGGAGAATTGAAAGCATGGAGGCCCAACTTATAGTAAAAAGCAAAGTGGGTTACTAAGGAGAATGAACTTTCAGTGCAGAATAGAACCACCAATGGCTGCATTTGAGAGAGTCTGGGAAAGTTCTGAGAGATAAAATGGGAGTTGGCGTCATCTGTTGTGCGATGCAGCATGAGAAAGGGAGGGAGAGACAAATTGGGAAAGATGATTTTAAGGAGTTCTCATATGTTTGAGTATAAGCCCATTTTGCCATTTTCTAAGAGCCTAGAAAAGACCCAAATCGATTTTCAATGACTTTCTAATGATGTTGCACTGAGACGGGTCCAGGTTTATGCAGATCTATTAATTCTAAATAAATATAATGACACCTTCTCTGAAGCCCAGACCACCTCCCTTGAAGTTGCAGTATTGTACTGCCATTATTATGACATGCCATGTGGTAAAGTTGACCCTGTGTATATCTATCTCCCCTACCAGATTACAAACATGCCCTTTGAAGGTAGCACTTGTGTCTTATTCTTATCTTTGTGTCCTGCTCCATATCCATCTTCCACTCAGTGAATTACACCAAGTAGATGTTCAAAAAATAGTGTGAAATGAATGCATGAGTGATGGATGACTGGAATTTAACTTAAAGAGCAATTTCTTTAGCAACATCTATGACAGCAGTGTCTTCTCCCCCACGGCCTGATGGACTCTGAGGGACCACGTCTGTCCTGGTCCTCACTTTATCTCCAGCATTTGCACTATGCTAAGCACACCATAAGCGTTGGAATAATCACTGTATCCTCTAGAAAGGATTTCAGCGCATCAGGAATGGAAGAAAGCAAAACAATCCAAAGCTAAACGGAAGTGAGCTGCCTGGCCGAGGCTGTCGTACTCGGTGGGCGGTAAAGAACAGGAATCCCCAGGCGAACCCTGGGAACCGCGGGTGAGTGCGGGCGCCTTCCTCTCCTCCGAGGCGATAGGTGGCGCTGTGGCCGGCCGCGGCCCCCGGGTCTGCGCGGCGCCGCTCTCTGGACGGGGTGGGGAGTTGGCAGAAGGACCTGCGGCGGGTCAGCTTCGGCCGCCGCTCTGGCCTGGTCTACCCCAGCGGCTGACTGATCGCTCAGTGCGGCACCATGGGGAAGCGGGACAATAGGGTGGTGAGTACCCGGTGGGGAAAGCAATGCGGCGGCGCGGGGCACGGCGGCAGGAGAGCGGGAACCCTCGCTCTTCCCGGCTGGGCCTGAGAGTCAGCGGCGGCGCTGGGACCTCAAACCAGGAGACCCAGCTCCCCTCCCCGCTCCGGCCCCAGACGCGCGTGCGCCGCGCACGAAGTTGGCGCCTTCGACTTCCCCGCTCTCTTTTCTCCTCTCTCTAGTCTCCCTTTTCTCTACACCCCGTCAACCCTGCCGCACCCTGTGGTAGTGTTCTCTGGCATCCTTCCCTTCCGCACTCGGGCCAGCAGTGCCCAGATTCTAGAGCTCTGGGGTCCCCTGCACCCTCCTGTAAGTAAGTCCAAAGTCTGAGGCCCGTGGAGGTGCCGGGACTCGCCCCCCACGCACCGCGACCGGGATCGCGCACCCAGGTGGGACGGAGGCCGTGGACGTGGTCCCTCCACCCGGTGGCCTGCAGGGCGCCCAGTTCTAGCAGCAGTCGAGCTCGCATTTGAGAACCAGGATCAAAGCATTTGGCTTTGGGCCCCAGTGTCCAGCACTACCTGGCACCTAGTAGGCTCTGTAAAGGAACGAATGGCCTGGTAATGTTCACTCTGGAGTCAGGCCCAGACTGGAATGTCAGTTCTGGTCCCTCGGG